ATGATATTTTGGCTCTCTCAGAGGGTCAATTATGCATAAATTGGTTTTCCTCGTTTTTCTCGGAAATAAAGCGATATTTTGGCAAATGAAGTATACCACGGGTTATATCGCATCAAGGTCTTCCTAATGCTAAAATATGAGAAAATTCGATTTTTCGACTGTTGCCGGCGTATGTTCGATTTTTGCTGACATCCTCTCTTAATGTTGTTTATGAGGTGTTATAAAGATGCCATTTAAGAGTTGACTACTGTCTTAACTACTTATTAGACAAAAAGTATATTTAAGCAATTATCACAGATTAGTCATACAGAGCTCTGTAGATTATTGCAAATTCTGCATTACTATTTAAAATAGTAATGCAGAATTTGCAATAATCTACAGAGCTCTGTATGACTAATCTGTGATAATTCTGTGCTACTATAGGTATATTAGTAATAGACCACTTAAGGGGAAAACTAATCAAAACCATGGCATACGTATCCATTTGTATCAAAGCTTTGACAGAAAGTGTTCTGAATGTTTTGCAGTGTTTTTTTGGTTTGTTTGATAATTGCTCAGGCAAGTAGTATGTTAATTTATAGTCTTATTGTTATTATTATTATTGCTCAGACCTAAGGCCAGCCCCCACTTCCTATAATACCTTTTTTTGAGTTCAATGACAAACAAGATGCATCATGGCCTAGCTTAAGCTTCAGTACAAACAACACCATATAAGGCATGATAAACAAAAGATGTTTGTACAGAAGCCAAATCACAATACGTGATGTTTGTTAATTCAGGAAAAGTGCATTGGCTATTGATGATAGCTTATTTGATCAATGGACCTAATTGTTTAACTAGAACTAAAGAAAAAAAGTAGAATTTGTCCATTATTTCTTAGTGCCTTTAATTAGAAATAATCTAGAAAACATTGACCATAAGATATGATAATTTAAACTTTTTGGGTCTATTTATGACATTTTTTGAAGGCTATGCTTTATACAGTATGATAATAAATTGCAATTAATTTTTTAGTAACATGATCATGTTTTTTTCCATTTGGAAATAACAGCCTTTTATACAATTATGATATTTTAATTGGTAGTTATCAGTGCCAATTCTTCAATTTCAATTTTTTCAAGAGCTTTGTTTTTTGGTATTTTTCACTTGAATTGTAAGTTTTAAACAGATGTCAGTCAAACTGACATATGTATTAATTGAACTGCAGAAATGTGTTTTTGATATACACAACAAAGTTAATATATAGCAGCCATCACTTTCTTGCTTTCGTGCCCCAAAACACTAATATTGGAGCTATAAGATGTTTAGAAGAGCCACATTAATTCAAGTTGATGTTTGTAAGGGATGTTTGATTTGCAAGGCTTTATTTTAATAATCAATTTGTCTTTCAGGCTATTCTTGAACAGGAACTTAGGCCATACTATGATGGAAAATGGAAGGGATTAGTAGAATCTCAAATTCCATCATTTGGTAAGATAATATTTTGAACATTTATGGAAATGGTTTGCTTTTGAATTTACTGTATAATATCAACTTTTATGGTTACATTAATATTTTATTCTATACTCAAGGTCTTTCTATGTACAACATATATGATGTGTCATCATATACGTAAATATAAGCTATCAGATTGATTTTACATCTGGAGGCAATTACTACCGGATAACCTAAGTACTAAATTGTAACAACAAAAGTCATCTTTATTACATTAACCCTAAAAGCATGCATCCTTAATGGTTTAAATATGTATGACTGTATATTAAAGTGATATTTTTAGTATTATTTGTTTGCTAATATTGAGACAATTTTATTCATTGATATGTAAAATATTTTATCTGTTGCAGCTGGTAGGAATCCTTCAACAGATTCCCATAATGCAGTAAATACAGTGTAAGTTTGTTAATTGATTTTCAGACTGCATGTTACATTCAGAGCAAAATCGATTTCCTCTACATCAAGAAAATACAAAATAAAATATTTAAATAATCATAACTGTGAACACTGATGTCAAAGCTGGCATGTGGTACTGTTTGGTCATATTCATTCTTTCTTTTAACCTTCCTACTTACAATTATTTGTGGATACATACACATTTGATGCAATAACTTTGTCAACATTATAAATCTGAATTTTTCTACAAATATCTACACCTAAATCTTGGAACTCATAGAGAGCATTTTGTCTGACAATTACTTTGTTCAACAATTACTTCTGAAATGAACAGCTGGTTACACTTTCAAGCAGATTCAATAAATTACACCTACATAAGGAAATATATCTACTATTAAATTTTAAATGTTGCTGCTATAAAAAGCACATGGCACATGTTAAAATTTAAAGGAATGCGACATCTGTTATGTGGTTCATATATAAATTTATCTTATAATTCAGAATGCTATTTTTGTAAAGCTATCAATAATTTCACTAGCTTTTAGTGATTTACTTAAGACTATCCTTACAGTTCTTGACAGAAAATTTTAATACTTTTATCCTTATTATTTCTTTCTTTTCGTATTAACAGACCTGCCGGATTCGTAGCGGACCCACAATCAAGTAAGAGTCAAAATACAACTAGATCCTTGTAGACATGACAGCAACTCTTTGCATTTTTTAGCCCTTTTTGTCATCTACATAATTGTATTGCAAGTGATGGTTTTTCTCGTGCGTGGGCGAAAAACAAGGAAATCTTAATTCAGAGATTTAAAGGCTTACCTTATTTTAATCCCCCAGTACGATTTGACAAAACATGAACGATAAATCCCATAAACATGTGCTTTGCTGTTATTTTTCTATTAAGCTCGGATATTTACTTTTTTTCAAATATTTAATATAATTTTTTCTCGTACTTACATTTTGACATGTCCTTTGAATATATCCTTGACTATGGTCCAAAAAAGAGGCTTTTAAGACCGATTTTACGGAATATTGGAACTCGGTCGCCATTTTGTTTATGTGTAAACCTTCGAGTTTCCCGCCCTTTGGATGCGCTCACAGCACGCGCGCAAATATGGCGCGAAAAATAAAACCTAATTTGCATAAACTAATTTATTGAGTTTATTGATTTTTTTTAGTTTTAATACATTTATATATTATTGTTTTCGTCTTTGATTGTTGATTTTATATTTTTTTATGGTTTTCTTTTTGCCTGGTTTATTAAGATTTGTCATTTCCTTGATGTAAGTTTATCTCGTCATTGTTACCTCATTTTACTAATTATTTCGTATCTAGTGCATAGCTGTCGAGTGAATTCTTATCTTGACGGAGCCTTTAAGCTTATCTTTTTCGTATGTCATTACAGTACAGGGACATCCTTTGTTGATTCATAATGTCTGCCAATGGCCAGGTTGTGAAGCGTATTGTGACAGTTTTCAACAATTCTTACTGTGAGTATTCATCTATTTTTAAAAGAGAATTTACTCTTGATCTTTACGATAATAACAAACGAAAATCACACTACAGTCTACCAACTTGAATTAATAAAATAGGCGCGAGATGGTTCGTTGAATTATGTTAAAGTAAATGTTTATTATAGTCTAATTGTTGCCAGATAATTCTATATTTTAAAATGTCTGTCTTACATTAATGTTTGCTCCTAGTCATTTAGATAACGACCACGCATTAGATGAACGAAGCACTGCTCAAGCTAGAGTACAAATGCAGGTTGTCGGTCATTTAGAAACTCAGGTATGTGCGACGGAATTATAGTAATACGTTTACTTTTGTTTGTTTGTTATTTTTCCTAATGCCATAACGGCTTCCATTTTTATTTACCTTTTTGTTTTGTGGTTTTTAAGACAAGAACGTACGATTTACAGCTGAGCTTTTTTATATTTGCTTTTAACTTTTAGACATACATTTAGTCTTGAATTCATGTGTGTTCTTTTTCTTTTTAATAGCTAAATAAAGAACGCGAAAGGTTGAATGCAATGATGAGCCATTTGCACATGCCAAAGGTAATCAATTCTTCCGTGTGTACCCCCCAAAAAACCCGATTATTTTAGTTTGCTTATCTTTTAGTGTCATTTATATCGTGCACATTTTTGTGTCTTATTAGGGTCAAGTAACATCCCCAGTTTCCGAACAAGAACAACCACCTCACTCTCATTCTCTTGTAACGATCCATGGTCAACCTTCTTCCCAAGAATCAGCTGCCAGATCACTTTCTTCCTCGCCTTCAAACACAACCAATGAAAACACAGAAAAAGATGGGCAGCTGGCTGCAGAGAATAGGGAACGCAAAATATGTATTACGCCTCCGCCCAATATCAGTGTCCACGATATTACTAGCACCCATGAAGCAACAACCGTCACTATGATGCCAATCATTCACATGCCCACCCACATACACGAAGATATAAAGCCGCTGGTACGTCATATGCATGAGGAGAAAATTCACAAAAGAAGAAGCGCAGATCCAGACGGAATTTCTTTAGGTAAATCTATACGGTTACACAAACTCTGTGCATGGATAATGATGTTGGTGGTGTTCATATTGATGAGGAGGAAGAGGAGGAGGATGAAAATTTAAATGGTGATGATGATGCCAATAGTAAAGAATGATAAAGAATAAGCGTTTTAGAATGTGGCGCTAAAAACTATTACATTTTTAAGCATTTTTTACTGGAAGGAAAATATGTTTAAAAAAATTATTCTTGCATTTGAATTTTCTTTCAACCGATATTTTAAAAGCCTAATAGTGCGCACAGTTTGAGAGCTTTGTTTTGATTTGCAAATGCTGACAAACATTTGTAATTTGGTGTGTTAAATGAAATGATCAGGCGATTGTCTATCATTTCACTGTCAAAAATGTTGTCTTTTATCAAGAACCAAATAAGTTCCCGGGAATCTTTTATCGAGACAGACAGCGACTCCCACTAAACATTTTATAAAATAATGACCTTAAGCTTTCATTCTGACACATCGTTGAGATTCGATAAGGAATGTATTATTCTATTTTTAAGCTTTTAATTTGTCTTTTAGATATCCAAAGGTCTGCTGACTTCTATCAAAAGGCGGATGTACGTCCCCCTTTTACATACGCGTCTTTGATAAGACAGGTAAACAATACTAAAGTACTCTTCTTGAATAAAGCCAAGCTTATTGCTTCTCGGTAGTGGGAAATGGGTCACTTGTTTACCACTTTTAATTCCCAAAGACCGAAATCAAAAAGTCAGGTGTCATAAGAACGATATCCGTCATATTCTGTCCAATTAATTGTTGTTTCCTCTCAATGTCCATTTACTCGTTCAATTTTCCAACATTATCGTGTCAAGGCTGAAGGCTAACCATTTGGATATAATAGTGATCACTTCCTTCAACATTACCGACCGAGTGATAGGTAAAAGCAAGAATTTCCGCCAAGCACTCGATCAGTTTGTCAAATATTACAATTGAGTCTAATAGTCGTATCAATCATGGTGGTAATTTTTGTAATTAATATTAAATATATTATAAATAATTCGATCTTAAGTTTTCCAGACGTCGGCGGGTTAAAATTACTCTTTTGTTTCCTATGAATTTCTTAATTTGATTTATTACATTGTAATAAATAAGGTGGAACATGGAAGAAAAAAATTAATGCATTCGCTTTCTCTTTCACTTTTTAAATTCCAATATTTCACTATATCTTTTGCGTTTATAGAATCCCAATATTGCTCGCTCATGTACAAGCAGATGCGTCTAGAATATTTACTGGGTTTATTTTTATTCTTTTATTTTTTCCTGCTCAATTTTTATGTCTTATTTTTCTCTGACGTCCCTTGTGTTTTTGTTTCTCTTTTTAATGTAAGTACTCATTTCTGTTATTGTTTTATTTTTATTCAGGCTATTTTAGATTCCCCAGACCAGCAGTTAACCCTGAACGAGATATATTCCTGGTTTACTAGAACGTTTGCCTACTTTAGAAGAAATGCAGCCACATGGAAGGTACTCCTCGCTTCTCTCTCTCCACAAAACCCACCTGGCTAAATTCCAATTCGATGTCAGAGATACCATACACCTAAATCCAAAATGGCGCACGGCCGGTTGAAAACGAGGCATCCAGGGCCAAATTTACAGTTTTCTTATAATTTGATGCTGCAAAATTATCGTGTTCTTGAATGTAAGAAGAATAGAAAGACAGAACAAGTAAACAACGATATCTTTGCATTGACACCATATTATTTCTTTCCAGTGGGAACCCCTTGAAGATCATTTCATTTCTAGCTATTTTTAATGAAAAACCCTTGAGTTTATTAATTAAGTGGGTTTTGGTGCGATAGCTGTTATTTTGGGCGTTGTTGTTTTGTTTGTTCGTTTTCGCTCAGAACAGGCTTGACTAAAGGTGCTGACACACGGTGCAACATTGCATGCAACAAATCTGAAGTTGAATCGCGCTCTTTACTCTTGCAACATTGCGCGCAACAAATTTTATCATGTGAACATGACTGCAATATTACCCTGCAACATTTTGAAATTTCCAGCCTATCAGCTTGCACCAAATTTATAACTGCTGACCAAATATCTTAACATAGCAGGCTGACACAAGCGATGTTGCGTSATTTTGTTGCAATGTGTGTCACCCCGATTCAAATTTGTTGCTTGCAATGTTGCACCGTGTGTCAGCACCTTAACCTTATGAAAATATACGATAATAACCATGTCAGATTGTCATCAGTTGTATCTTGTTGCTGTCGTTACTTTTTTGTTGTCTTTGTTGTTGTTGTTTCTGTTGTTGCTGCTGCTGATAATAGTGGTTTTGAGAGAGTAGCAAAGGTGTGGTAGTCGTTGGTAATGGTAGTGGGTGGTAGCGGTGACGGTGACGGTGCATGGTCCCTTTTAACAACATGGTTGATGCTGACAACAACAGTTCCGTCCAGTGATCAAGAATAATAGTTCGAAGTCGAGGATGCAGTTTCCGCGCATAGCAAAACCATACTTTTTACCATGTACTCCAACCTCGGCTTGGAAATATTGTTCATGGCCACTGAACGGAACTGTAAAATGGAGTATTACTGTGGTATTGATGCTGTGCTGCTGTTTTGATAGTGAACCATGATAACTTAAGTTATTCGCCAAACCGCAATACTGAATATATATTTCTATTGCAGAATGCGGTCCGTCATAACTTATCTCTCCATAAATGTTTCGTAAGAAAAGAAAATGTTAAAGGAGCTGTTTGGATGGTGGACGAAGATGAGTTCATGAAACGAAGACCACAGTCTAAAGTTACGCAAAGTGCTTCGTAAGTAACGGCCCAATGACTATTTAGCAATCAAATCCAACTAGTGGCCAATCATCAACCCTGCGTTCTGATTGGATGAGGAACTACTAGGCTATAATTCATATCCTTCTAATAGCGAAAAGTGCCGGTTTTGAAAACCAAAACCGACATTAAATTGAACTTTAATTCAAAACTTGTTTGCATCTATATATTTAACCGACGTCTATTTGGTTTTTGCTATTCCAGTATGCATTCGTTTATATTAGAATTAGAAAGATAAAAGGCGTAAAACAAGCATGCAGCCAGTTAATTTTTCTTGGTAAAGATTCCCAACTTGTTGGTCTTTGATTTCAGGACATTAAAGCAAGAACGTGAACGTTTACTACAGCAGCCGCCATCTTGCCTGATAGGCCTTCCAACACAAGTCAGTCTTGACGCAGTTTCCAACTCACGTGATCACAATGACGTCGGCCTAGATGACGTCAGCATGGCGTCTTCTTCAGACGAAGGGAGGAAACGGCCACGAGAGGAAGAAAGCGAAGAAGGTGGACAACCTAAGCGACAAGTGTTACAGGAAGAAGAAGAAAGTGAAGGCGTTGGAGGAATCAGGAAGTTAGTTGAATTTTGCTCCAAAGATATCAAGTAAGAAATTCTATTAAGTATTTGTTCGTATTTTAAGGACGTTTTAAAGAAAGAAAAAAGTTTTTGATTTTTGCTTTAGATTGATTCGTTATTCGCAACTCAGTACCAAATCATTCATTTCAGTTAGCCTGTGCTAATTTCATTCAGGAGGGGGGAAAACGAATAACGCATGCGTATACTTACGTAGCTCAGCATGCAAGGAAAAGCTTTACGAAACAGATACTTAGTAGTATTTTCAGACTTCTTGGGTGCTTACCATTTAAACCAATCCATTCGGTTGGAAATTTGATTGCTAATGGTAAGAAAAGAGCGGGAAACTTTGACTAACGACAAGAAGTACACGCGTCCACCACCGGGAAAAACAAAAAGGGCGGGAAAAGTGGAATACCTCAATCGGAAGACCAAGTTTTCCGGAAATTTCCGATTGGAATGACAAATACCATTTGTTTACCAACCGGAATTTCCGGTTTTTCCGGGTAAATGGTAAGCACCCCTTGATTCCATTCCTTCCAATGACATTTAGAAACGACTTTGTTTTCTTTTCGTATTTTGACTTCAAAGCAGTCAACTGTCGCAGTCGAATGTTCAAGTCAAGCTTGAACCCCAGGATGATGAGCCAGAGATACATATGAACAGCAGTCCTGAGACCGACGATCAGATGCGTAATGACACAAACTCACAAGATAGTGATATTCAGTTGGAAGCTAGGATGCTTTATAGTGAAAATGGTTCTTTTGTTGGAGAGGACGAAAATGACAGGTAAACAACCTTTTATTTATTCATGATGAATAAGTTTGTTCAATGAATCATTCATTCAACTGTTAGTGCTGGGGTTTTGATTTATTTGCGGACACACTATGCGACATCACCAGCAACGTTGCATATAAAAGGCTGAGGTTTTTGACTTCTACTTCTGCGACGTCGCATGCAACATCGCAACGTGTGTCTGTACCTTTATTAAACCAGGGATTGCCCTTTTTTAGATGCGTTATAAAAAAGGTGTGACGCGTGAGTAAGAAGAGAAAGTGCAAAAATCTTCCATAAAAGAAATGGTGGTTTTAAAAGTGCGAAGTTTGGTCCAAATAAGTAAAGTTTGATCCAGCGCCTTAAGTTTGATCCAGTTTGCTTGACGCATACTCCTTTGCTCTGGATGCAATTGACGTCATAGCATGGCCGCCATTTTTGTACTTGCTTTCTTTTGCTGTGTCAATTCGGGACGCACGCTACCGCCCTGACCTATGAATGAAGCTCCCTTATTAATATTATCTTGATTATGTTACAGGTAAAGATGAGATACCAGCACTAGAGTCGGTCCCTAAATTAAATTGGCGTAGCAATAGCAGTAGGAAAAATATCAAAATGGGAGCTAGCACGTTTTTGGTATCGGAGACACTTTTGGCCACAGCTCGGAAGGAAGTCTTTTTAAATGATTGACGCGCGTGGCTATAATTACTGGTAGATGGTAAGGTAGATATGAGGAGAGTAAGATTCAGTAGTTGCTAAATGCAAGGATAGAAACGGTTTTATACAGACATGCACTGCTCAAAGCAATTGACTTAGCAGAATTTGTATGATGGGCTGAAAAACGGATGATATGTTGTCTCAAAGACTTTCAAATTGAACGGCGTGTTTTGATTGGTTTAGAGGGAAACCATTTTAGTGTCAAGGTACCGTAAGTAAGTTTTGTCGTATGCACAAACAGCGCTTTTCGATGTCATTTTTGCGACTAAAGAAATCTCTGGCAGAGTTCATCCTTCAACCATCTTGAACTTGTAGAGATAGCAGATCACATAAATAACACTTTAACGAGGATTAGATATGTGTAAAAGAAGCAAAATACTTACAATAATATAAGCTAATGAAAGAAACATTGTAAAAAGTACATTGATTGAACCACAAACGATTTTTCAATGAGCATGCGACATCGACCAAAACTTGGGCACGGTTTAGTTTAAACATCTAGATCTTAATATAAATAAATAAATAAATATATATATAAATATATATATTAAAACTATTTCCAGAGGGCGACAGACTTCTAGAAAAAATAAATAGATAGTTTCTGATTAACTTAAAAAGGAGCATGTGTCCAAATAATTCAAATCATTCAGCCCCAAGCAGTCTCTTTGGCGATTATTAATAGATATTACTTTTTAATAGTTTAAAACGTGTTTAGTGTCGTGGAATGAAAATTATTAGTAGATTATTTTTTTAGAACCTCGATGGAGGTATAAAATATCTTGATTTTAGCACAGAATTTTATGGAAAGAATTTTTTAGGCATTTTATTTTAATTTACTAATGCACAGAATAATATAAAAATGTTATTGGATATGCAGTGTGACATTGTTAGATATGTTTGCACACGTCACGCAGTCCAGTTTCTTTAACCGGCTGTGTTGCGTGACAAGGAAATTTGGAGTACAACCTCCTTCTGGTGTCTGGCAGTACCAAATAAGAGTCCAAGGAATTCAAGGCATATTAACAAACATCTACTTTAATATAGTTCTGTTAATTTTTCTCTGATTAATTTTTTCTTCAATACCCAACTTTTGATATTGTGGTTGAGTTTGTCAAGCACAAAAACATTTCGAGTCGAGGCTCCGGGGAAATTTAACAAAGTAACCGTAAATATTCTTTTGTTTCCCCGAAGCCTCGACTCAAATGCTTTTTGCTTAATCATTCAACCACAATATTGAAAGTTGGCTATTCAGTTTTACTTTTTCGGAGACCGTCTTCGCTTTTCCTTTGTTCCTTCACACGATCCAAAAGAAACTTGATATCTGGACATAGCAATATTGCTCTGCGCATTATTTACGCACCCAATGCAAAAGTTATCATTGCTTTCCAAAGCGTTTTTGATATTAATACTGTGCTAATTTTGGTGGGAAAAGACAACTGCACCAACAGCAGGCTCTATAGGCCTTTTTCGAGTTCCGCGATGGCTGTCAAAAGTATCCCGTGCTCAGATTCGAAAACGAGGCATTTTCGGGCAAGACTATTTCACGCGCTTTTGAAAACACATACAAAACTTTGAAAATCATGCTAATAAATTGAGGAATGCTTTGAAGTTTCTTTTAGTTGGGAAGCAGGATAATAACTTTTTGAAAAAAATAAAGCTCACTTCAGACAAAATCATTTCTTCAAGAGTCTTAGAAATTGCCTTAAATTTTATGGTTTCTTGTCACACTGCCCGAAAATGCCTCGTTTTAATGTCTGCGCCTGCGATACTTTTGAAAGCGCTCGCGCATCTCTAAAATCGTCTACTAGTAATACTTAAAGAAATCGAGTCGGCTGTGGATCCTAGTCATTGATTATGGTATGACAAGTAGATGTAGATATATTGTTACGAAGGTTCTTGGTATGTCTGACGAAATGAAAATCTAGAATAGCTTTGAAATACTGGAAGAAAATAAAGTATGAACTTTGTCAATTTTACATTAGAAATAAATTTATAATTCGTTTATTTCTTTTAAATAAAAAAGAAATCTATAGATGAGAGGAAAATGGTGCAAGTGATTAATATTCTGAAACTGATCAGTTATACAGTCAATGTCATTAACGTTGTGCACCGAAAAAAGACATTTACACATTTAGACTAAAAGATATATCACGTGTTTCATTATGTATTCTTTGCCTCGTGTGCGTCAGCCTGAACTTTAAATGTAAAATTCATCTCGTGAATCGAAAATCCAGAATGCCCTGACCATTTAGTGAGGATTTAAGATTGAGAATGGTATTTCAGCATTTGTTTTATGTCAGAACCTTCGAGGAAACACGTGATACTTCTTTTAGTCTAAAGGTCTAAATGTGTAAATGTGTAAATGTCTGTTTTTGGTGGACAACGTTAATGACATCGACTGTATGTCCATTGGTTACACCGAATTTTAATGCATCATATATTTATGACGCCATTGCTTGTTTATGAGGAGGACAAAGAGGTGGGAAGGAATAAGAATTTGAACTAATTTTACTATGAAGCTGAATTGGTAGCCTTAATATGTCTGGTTTTCAACAATTTTTAAACTGGTGTTCATACTACAATATCTATGGTATTTCGTGACTATTATTGCTTTCTTAAGTCCTAAAATTTCCCATCTTCGCAGTTTTCGATGTGTTGTGTTCATTGTCCCCAAGATGCCATGACCACACGACTAAGATGTTTAGCGTGTTATATAGTGTTTTCATGTGACGTCATAGTATAAGCAACACAAAATTTGTGCGACGTGTGTGCCTCCGTGCACGTGCGCAAAAGTTATAACTTATGAATTTAAACTTATATTTTACAATCACCACTCCCTGTACCACTACATTCTATATTTACAACATACAACTCTCAACTCACATGTTGATTTTTACGGAGGAAGGAAACCGGAGATCCCGGAGAAAACCCTCGTGGCAAGGGAGAGACTAACACATTTTAAAAAATCAGTCAACTCACATATTACGCAACACGGCGCCAAGGGCGTCTGTGCAGGACGCTAGCGCAACCCAGACAACTGGAGACCCTGTTAACTCGTCGCTTTTATAAGTGAAACGTTTTGCTTAACCTTTTCTAACCTTTCTAATTTGCCATCTTTCAGTGGCACGTATAGAAATTGGAATTGGTTTTACCGGATACGCGGTGAACACTGTTGAGCACCCGCGCTACATTGCTGGAGACAGCTAGGCTCCCGAGGGATGTCACGCGTAGCAACTTCCCGCAAAACTATTAATAGCGCAGCGCAGTGATTCTAAAAATAGCTTAAAGATTCTGACAAACATTGCATTCTGTTTAACCGCTACGAGGATTATACGAACCGATTTTATTATTTTTTGACTTAAAGTTACAATAATAACCCATGTAAACTAAGATCAACTGCGATCGGCTATGAAAATTATCTGCTAAAAGTAAACTTGTAAACTTGTAAGTTTGTTTGTCCGAATTTCGCCTTTGTCTTCGTTTTTATGACGTCACGACTGCGCTGCGCTATTGAGGAACTCTGCTATTCTACACGAAATGTTGCATTTCATTGGCTGGGTACATCACTTCCGTTGCAGCAGTTTTTCATAAGAAAAACTTTGCTGCGTACAACGTTTTAGAGCTACTACATTCGAGTGTACTTTCCTAGCATTACCTGCAATGATGCGCACTGCAACTATAGATCTAATTCGTCTTGGTGCAATGATATGTTTACCCATTTAAGACCACGTGTCATATGTCCGGGCCTTGAGAATAACATTCTTTGTATGGTTTTATCTATAACGACACGTGGTCAGAAATGGTTAAGCATTGCACCAAAAAGAATTACTTAGGTCTATTACACAGGTGAACAGACGGTACAATTACAACTGTGCGCAACGCCGTGAGTAATAGTTGCACCGTGTGTCTAGGTGTTTGTCTGAAACCAAGAATTTCGGCAGTAGAGTTAGGTTTTGATGACGGTTACGTGCCGGTGCCTTGAGGGAAGGGAGCCGGAATGACTTGTCGATAGTAATGAGCAGTACCCCTCCCCTGTCTTTTTTATATTCCTTGCTTATCAGTCCCACACCTAGAATGGCCACAGTACGTTTGTAAATCATGTACTGAAGGTTCTATCCTGACCTAGCCTATACTGCGCATGGCTGAGACAAAGTTTGTCCGGCTCGCTCTATCCCGTGTACGAGCTTTTTTTTTTTTTTTTGGCTCTTCCAAGTGGATGAGCACTATTTAAAAATTGCTAGAAGGTTGCGTTTACGCTATGTTAAAGGAGTATTAGATCGATATTTTAAACATGACTTAACTTGATAAAATTGTTAAATATATAAGAAATTTGAACAGATACATATGTCAAGTGGCACAGCAAAATAGTTTACCGGCCGGGCTTTATGTAGTCCTACTAAGACAGTTCTGAAGCCGGAATTTAAGCAGTCCGGTCCTCCAAGATTAGCTGTCTCTGTGGTAAGTTAGTACAAAGAGAGAGAATGAAAAAATAGCTATAATGCTTCAGAAGCAAAACCTTTTGTCTTTTCTCTACATGCCGTACAGACAAGAACAAAGCCGGTCCCAATTCCGGCCTTTGAACGAAAACCAAGTTATTATGTTTTTAAACCATAGTAGAATTAGAGGGGACTGTAAAACATTTTTTAAAGACATATGAAAAAGAGTAAAAAGTACAAAGCAATTCTTTTCCTATTTTTCCTAGAGGTGGCCGTTTGACTAAATCTTCCAGGCGCAAAGAGTACGTTTTTCTATCGATATTGTCATCATTCACGCTCTGGTTCACCTTTTTAAATGCGATTTATATGCGCTTTTGATTCAAATGCATCAGTAGACAAAAATCTCTACAAAGCAAAGCTTCACAAAACACATGTTCGGTGTACTGCTAAGCTCATAGCATCAGTCATATTTCGAGCTATCGATCTTCATGTTTGCGTGAACAAGGAATTCCAGCATGGACTCTGCATAATATTGTGCCGTCAGGGGAAAAAAGGAAACGCTTTCCTGGCGCTCAACCTTTATAATAAGTCAATTGAGTAGCTAGTGGTTGAAAGCTAAGCTAGGCTTTTCAAGACATCCATAGTTGCAGCATCTCAAAACAGCTGATAGCTAGGTAAGAAGTGCTCATAGGATATTTGAAATCTTGTTAAATAAGTTTAACTAGTGAGAACTTGAAAAGTTTCGTAAGCCTTGCCCAATGCATGTATAGGTTATCGAGAATGCTAGATTCGTAAGCGTAAGTGTGAAAGTGGAACTCAATCGCTTAGCGATCTTAAAAACATTTCTAACCATCTCTGCATACTCAATTAACTATGATCTCAGTTATACGAGTCATGCAAGTTTCTAAATAACCTGGACTCAGCTCTTTGGCATTAAGAAACTACACAGATTCTTGAGTCCATTTAGCTCTACTCATTGTTCAGGTAAGACACGGTTTTAGATGAGCCAAATCCAAGCTTGACAAGTTGCTGTCATCAAACCTGATCATCCACCGTCCCTCATCACAAATAGTAATTGCCAGAGACATGCCTATAACGCATCCTAACTCAATTCAAATTCACTCAAAAATTAGCAAAATTATACAAACGTCTGAGCAAGAGAATATGAACTATTTTTCTCTTAATTGTCTCTTGGTCTGAGACAGCAATGTTAATTATATATTTTTTATAGGATTCGAGTTCTGACTGTTCTGCTCCAACAACCATTATTTTGGCGCCATTTTTCATCGCATCTTAGCCAAAGAAAAAAAGTCCGTTTTAACATACAGAACATCTCCATGACTAAACTATCTCCAAACTCTTTAGCGAACAGGTTTTTTTTCTTGAATTTATGCAACTTTATAGAAAATGGCTCATGATTGAATGCTTTATCAATGCTAATATTCACTTCAGTCTGGCTGGTTTAGTCACACTTGACAAATCATTCTCAGCAATTTTAACTCGACTTGTTTTAAGACAATAGAATATATGAAGGCTAGAAGTCAGTTTGAAATCCAGACCTTCTAATCTCTAGATTTATTTTTATTCCATGAGTTTTTTTTCTTTCTTTAAGTTACTAAGCACCATTCTTTTCAAATCTTTTTAAGCCCAGTTACTGAAAGGAAAAAAACAGTTACGCCAGGTTGCCTTTCAAAATGGCTGACGATGATTTAGGTAGAAAATTTCTTAACGACGAAGAAGAAGAAGAAGCAGTAGACTCAACAGGAGAGACGCTGATCCTTCAAAACATTAAGAAGAAGAAAGAAGAACGAAGTAAAAAACTGAATAGTATTTATATGTCCTACGACAAACTCCAAGTTGACGAGAAGCTATTCCAAAATGGTGATGTTCATCAAGCTAATCAGGAAGATGAAGTTGAGGTTTGACAATGAATTATTCGTGCTCTAGTACATTTGGGGGTGGGGGTGGGGGTGGGGGTGGGTGAGCATGGGTTGTTTTTTCGCACTTTAGCGGACGTTTTAGTCATTTATTGAAAGAAAAAAAAAAGATTAATAGAGGTTTTTCACGACAGCCATGTTCGTTGACAGAAACAATGCAATATTTTTGCATGACAAAATAATTTATTTCCCATAGAAGAAAATTTATTTTTGGCCTCAAACACGGCTACCATGATAGTTGGTATTGTTGGATTTATGGTTTCGATTCATAGTCTTAGAGTATTGTACTAACTAAAGCTGCACATGCATTATCTCTAGGGCGAAGTGGTAAAGACGAAAAAACCTCAGAGGTTGAATGAGGCAGTTATGTCATTGGATTATATGAACGTATCAAAGTTGCTTGCTCAAAATATAGGTAGGTAACGTGGGAGAGATGAGCAGAGATTCTTTATGTACGCCTCTTTGTGCAACGGAGCACCTCTACCTATGGATAACAATGTGCGCATAAAAAATTTGTATTGCGGAAGAAAATGCGATCAAAGTGGTTTTTTTTTTTCTTTTTTCTTCTTTTAGTCCTCCTTTTTGTCCTTCTTCTCCTTCCCCTACTTCTCCAACTCCTCTTCATGTTGATGTCGTTGTTTTCTTCATCTTAAATTCTTTTTCTTCCATTCCTCTTCTTCTGGTCTTCAAGCTCTAGATCTCCCCCGTTCTTCTTTCATCGTCTTGGTTTTTTTTTTTTTTCCTCTTACTAAAGTATTTATTATTTTTCACAGATATTAATTTTCCCAATAGATTTGGGCGCGGTCCTTTACACAATGCAATACTAAAGGGAGATTTGAGAATGGTCAAAATGATCCTCGATGCAGGTGCTGATGTCACTCTTAAGGACGATAGAGGTGATACCCCTCTACACTATGCAGTAAGAGCTGACAGTGAACAAATAACAAAGGTAAGACGATAGCGACTGCTTTTGCAATATATAATTTAGGCTGCGTTCATAAAGTATGGCAGAGGGAGGGGGGGCAGGTGAAATTTTTAAATGTCCAGAATAATTCTTAACAGCCCCCCTTAAAGTCATGCAAAAAAATACGATCCCCTCCCCTTAAGCAAGGCTGTAGCTTCTTTCAAAAATTGTGCATCCCCCCATTTTTCTGATAAAAATTTGCCCATCCCTCCCTTTTTCGATCCCCCCCTCAATTTCACCTCAGTACCCCCCACCCCCCTCTGCCATACATTATGAACGCAGCCTTATCTTTGGCTGGAAAGATGACACAGGGCGGAACTTTTAAGTTTGTAGAGCAAAAGACATTATATCTTAACCGATCTTTATAAATTATAAAATGAACTGAGTGAAGTCATTAACCAGTGAAATAAAAAATACTAGTCAACGTGTAATAGTACTAGTCAAATAGACATACAAATAATCTGTATTAGACTAATATCTATTTGACGGGTTTAGTGGCTTCACTTTATGGCTATCCCTTTCTTTGTGTGCTACCTCTCCTAAAGGTCATAAAGAATTTGTCCACTGCCAGCTCTGTCATGTTCCGTAGAGACACGCGCAACACAGTCGTGTATCTTGCCGCGCAAAATAATTTGCGCTGTTTTATCAAACGTGGCTCGGGTTATCACACCGCGCGCTAGGTTATCGCGCGAAAAGCAGTAACACGAACAACATCCACTCGGCACTTTAGATACGTTGCAATGGGTTTGTAGCGGTACCTTCATACAATGGACTGAATTTAAAAACCTCCGCAAAATGGATTTCCGCATCTTCTCGATTAAGCATTTCCACGGATCCATGCAGCATTAAGTCGCCATAACCCACTTTGACGCTTGTTATTCTATGAATACACGATGGGGAAATAGTAAAAGAAATTAAACTTGAAGTCCAGATATGGATAACATTGTTGAAACATTTAATATAAAATTAAAATACGTTTGCGTTCAACTCAATTCACAAAACTAGATGGACCCATTAATATTAAACCTGCAAGATTTATATGATAAGACATGTTTATCATAATTGAGCCTGAATGTTATTTAGAGGCAAACTTAAAACCGATTCCAAATGGACCCTTCCCTAAAGTATCGTGGATGCAACGCTAGCATAGAAATTCGAAAGAAATCACACTTTTTCTCGATGGAATTTTTGTTTGTTTGTTGTTGTTGTTGTTTTTTAATGTTAACCTTGCATTCAAGACAATTTGAAGAAGGGTCCATTACTCTGCGGATACTCCAACCGGGATCACTATGATAAATTAGTATCATTAACCAATCACATTGCGACATTTAGCTCAATGTTTTTAACCGGCCAATCAGATAGATCATCGATATAATGAGAGCGTGAGAACGTGATAATTTGATTGGTCAACACTGTTAACAGTTCAATCACTGTCTAGTTTACCATTATCTGATTGGTCAGTCTTATTCAAGGTCCCGGTTAGTGTCCGTACAGTAATCTGACGTCGAAAAACAAACGTCCAAAATCTCTAATACGTAAACGAGTTTTAAATGTAAGTATATCACTGTGGTCGTTTAACTCAAAAACGTTTGAATGAAGTTGATATGTCTATAAAACAAAGCTGGATTCAATCATTCTAAATCTTTAGAATGTTATTCATTGGTCTTAGTTAATCCAAAAAATATATTAATTCTGCGTATATAAATTTTGAAGCAGAAAAGTCATTCTAAGAATCTGTTTTGTGATTCATAATATAATAAGTCACTAGCGTGCACAAGCCAAAGCTCGAAAACCAATTACGATGGACGTCTCCAGTAGTATGCTTAAATACATCAAGGCCACATGACGCAATAATACAGGAACCTAAGAAGAGTGTTTATAAATTCTTAATGATTAGTGGAGCGTTGATAATCTGGAGAAGTGTACATTGGCACGTTTGGAGGGTAACTGTAATGAGGTGCGCAAGCTCGATTACAATCAGATCCTGCCGGGCATTCTTGACATAACGATGGTTGCGGTAATCGAAGTCCAGGGGATATTCCTGGATATTCTGTAGTAGGATTAGACGGATGATTTAACCCGATACTAGGGTACAGCGGAGTGTTAGCTGGGCGAAGAAAGCTTTGATGTTCTTGAGATAAAGTCTGATAACTTGGGAACAAAACGGATGGGTATGCTGTGTACCCAGGATATATCGAGGGCTGGTAACTAGAAACAAATGGTTGAGGAGGTCCACCGCTGGCCATTCGATTCGCAAACGCCAGTTTAGTGTAATTCTGAGTCTCTTCCGCGCGCTCTCTCTTGCGCTTCATGCGCCGGTTTTGGAACCAGGTCTTGACTTGCTGGTCGGTCATTCTAACAGCCAAGGCTAGTTGTTGTCGTTCTCTGGTGCCAATGTATTGGTGTTTTTCAAACGCCCTCTCGAGTTCGCGGACTTGATCAGTTGTGAACGATGAGCGGTTTTTCTTTGGCAGAGTGGACGGGGATTGGTGACGAGAGTCAGGCGAACCTTCGGGGACAAATACTATCATAAATTCCAAGAAAGCAAACATTTTATGTTTTATAAAACTTGCTAATCCTTTTTGACAAAAAAGTGTAAAACATATATTATCAAAAAAAATTATGTGTGCAATTCTCGAAGGATTAAATATATTATATGCAAAAAACAAATTGTATGATCAAGATTTAGGTGGTCCTTTCACCTGAATTTCCCATTAGGGATCTATAACTATTAATAAACAAATAAATAATAATAATTCAGATCTCCCGTGCATGACGTTATTGTCAGTAAATCGTATTTGCGTCTGTGAATGACGATAAAAGCTAACAAGCAAAATTTACTCAGTTTGCAAATGAATTGACTTTGATCGAGTAATTATGGGTAAATCGAGGTCTTACAAGATAATAGCATGAATAGAAAAGATGAATAACACATTTTCCTCGTTCATTAAAAAAATTTTTTAAAGCTGTGAGCTGTATAGTGAAGCGTTAACGAGTCATTCGACACGGGTGAGATTAAAATGATAAGTTAAAACAACAACAAAATAAAGACTAAATCAGCCAACATCTTGAAACAATTTCAAATATATCTACAAACAAACAACTGATATTTATATATCTAACAGAATAACAAGTACGGGATTCTTGAATGTAAAGATACATTGAAAATCATTGTGATTGTTGAACACCTCTACTTTTAGAGACGTTTATACTTCGTTTATACTTTATGCTTCGGACATTATTTCAATGAGCCTTTGTCCGAAATAAAAAAAGAAATTTCAAATTACCTGGTTCTTGTGATGAATCACTCTCGTACATCTGAGGACTTGTGGATTTATTCGGCGAAGACTCACACGTAGAAGACGAGCTTGTTGAAGAACTCGAAGGCGATACTTGACTATACGGGACGGGAAAAAGATCCTGAACTAGGAAAGATGAGGGCTTCTTGATCTCAGCTTTAGCGCAGAAGTCTTGTAATTTCATGGTGGAGCTGTAAGGATTTATTCCAAGGTTATTTTTCGACATGTTTGTCAGAGCAAGAAGAAACCGTYCTCTCTTTGAAGCAATGAATGTGTAAACTCTGTCTTTGAGGTGCTGATTTGAATATGAAACTAGCCGCTTTTGGCGGCAAACGAGCTTGATACTGCCAGCGCGAGACTATTTCAGAATCGGCGTGCTTATTCGATGGGAAAACAATGGGTCATCGGATGGCGGGATCTTGTGACGAGGGGATGAATTAGCCAGGGTATTGTGTTGGGCCAGGTCAAGCTGAAAGGGCGGGAAACTCAAACGGTGTGGTTCTAGGAATGACGCACTAAAGACGCAAAACGATCGCAAAGTAGGACTCAATTTCATATCCAAGCTGTTCATGCCTTTTGTCAGTGAATATTTAAGAGGAAAAAAGTATACCTTTGTAGTATTCATTATTAAGAGAACACTTTACAAAAACGTAGACACAAAAAAGTCTTTTCCAATTTAAAGTTAGTTTTTAAATTTTAAACTCTGGAGGGCAGTAATGTCACACATAATTAGCGAACAATGAACTTTTTATGTGGACGCTACCACCTAAAGACACGCAAATGCTTTGCACGTAAATCTTTCATTGACGACCACAGTTAACCTTGGAATTAAAGGCCCATTGCTTCAGATCATTGTACTCGAATGGCTCATTTAGATAACCAACTTACTCTTAATTCTAAAATAAATTCGTCAAAACTTATTCTCTCTTAAATGGAACGCTTGACGCATGATATTCGGACAAAGGTGTTGTGAAATTGCGCGCGCTGTTTGAGAGAAAAATTTAAGATGCGACGCCCATTTCTTTAATTTTCTTTTGAGAATAAAGTGAGTCTTCCGTTGCATCAGTTTTGTACTCTCGATTAGAAGATTCGCGTTAATTTTTTTTTTTTTTTTTTTTTTTTTTTTTTTTTTTTTTTCGTTATAGTTTTTATATAGAAACTATGATACTAAAGCTCAAACGATTTTTTACTCATCTGACAAGAGGTTCTTTTAATGTTCTTTCAAGCACAGTAGATAGACATGAAGAGAGCGCGAGGGAAAGAAGTTCTCACTCTCGCTTCCTTTAGCCTTGTACGCAGACGTTCTTAGGGTTATCTGGCTCGACGTTTCTTTCCCCACGAGACGACGTGACGACCCAAAGAACGTCTCCGCAGGAGGCTACGTTTCCCTCTAAGGCCCCGTATACACGAAGCCGGATATTTTTGCAAACGCATATTTTTTTTATCCGTTTAGGCCTACCGTTTACACGGAGACGGTCTTTAGCCGGCTATTTTCGAAAACGCTTTTCAAAGCGGATATTTTTGAAAACGCTGGCTATACCTTTCCATGTAAACACTCGAAGCTGGATATTTTCGTTAACGCTGACGTCACTAAACAAAGGTGATCGCAGGCTCAGGAGCTATGCGCATGCTCATTTAGCTCCTTTGAGCGTTTTCCGAGTCGATACAGTGTTTTCGTGTAAACGGGCGAAAACGATGAGCGTTTATGCGAAGCCGCATATAAACGCAATTTTTTTTTTACACGGATGAAAAAAATGTCAAGCTTCGTGTAAACGGGGCCTAAGTTTATTAGTGGAAATCCACCCCCCCTCCCC